CTAAATTATATATATATCGGAATCAATTTTTCGTTTATTACTACATATCTCATTTTATTTTATTAGAAAAATATGTGTCCTCCAGAACGCAGGTTCGAATCCTGCCGAAGAAATCATACATTTCTAATAAGATTTCTCTGCTACTATTCGATCCCGTAGTAATAAATAAATATAAAGTTCAATGAATTAACAGAACATCTACTCAAATACAGGTATCCATTAATATATATATATATATATATATATATATATATATATATATATATATATATATAAAATAAAAGATCTGATAAACTTTGTTATGTATGTTTAAAGAATTATGTGCTTTAATTTCAGTCTTGTCACTGATTGGAACGTTAAAATATATTCCTTATCTCTTTTATACGACAGGAGTTATACCTTTAATGTATTAGTTTTTTTAGCATTCATTGTGATAGTCTATTTTTTAAACCTCTTTAATGATTGACGGGGTGTTACGCGAATCTTGAAGATAAGGTAACTCTTAACGCCTGCATAGACCTACTTGCTGAGGTATGACGTACCAAGCACCGGTGAAAGGCGTCACACCGGAACGGTATGTGGTACGGGGAAGAGGAGTCGAGTGGAGAGGTACTGGACTGTTGCTCGCGGCAAACTTTACTGATCATAGAGAATTACTGTCCCTTGACGGATAATATACGTCATGCTCTACTTTGCAACATGACATGCCGTCTTGCTTGTCGCCTTATCTACTGATTACGCATTTACAAAATGTTAACGAGTGTTGACGTAGTCTCTGCAGCTAGCGTAACATAATCTGGCAGAATAGGTGAGAATCGAATCCATTCCACTAACGATTCAGTCAGTGAGTGGAGCTTTTCTCTTTTTTTTTTACAGTAAGTTTCACTCTTTACAAGACCTAAGGGTACACTCGAGGGAGATGGTTACGTTAGGAGGCAATTTGTGCGTATAGGAGTGGAAGGTAACAATTAACCCGAGTCTTGAACAGTTTTGGAAATGTAGTGATTGGGAAAACATCCCAGTTGGCTTCGAGTGGAATTGCAGAGGGAATATGAGTGGTTTGTTACCTTGTAAGTGGCGTGAAGGTTTGCCTTGACGGGACCAAGGAATCTAGTTCTTCCGACCACTTTCTGTAGTGATAGAGCAGTGATAGACTTGCAACACCCCGTTTGTGGGAGAGATGTTGGAAGCTAGAGAATAATTCGTTACCCACAAATGAGACGCTTTTGGACTCTATCAAGCTGGAGAGTGAGAACTGCGTTGCGAAGCCAACACTACTCCATTTTTGGATATCAGGAGGAATCAAGTATTACTGGAGCGGTACTTAGCAATGGATCGCTGAGAAAAGACTAACCTTATATTCATTCATAAGTCGACCATAGAAGGACGATCAAATCAATTTCGTTGAAATAACTAACAAGCTTTTTAATTATTTGTGTAGGCCAGGCTTCTTTTGTATTCAACTTAATTTTGACTTTATTTACATTATTCGGACTATTGTCCTCATCTTTGTCGCCATATTTATCACAACGGTTGGAATGTCGAACTGAACCCTTTAACTGTTCTTTATCAGTTATCTCCTGTTAATTTCTCTCTGCCTTAACCGGGTATTGAACTCACACTCCTGTCACTGGATCTAACCAACGCCTTTATCCACTGTGCCATGTGTCCTTGAGGACATCCGGGTATGAATTTCTGGGTATTATAAACCTAATGTCTTCAGTAACTATTTTTACCAGTGCTCATATTGTAATTTTTGCTGTTATCATTGCATGTTATTACCAGAGTTCATATAGCAACTTTGTTGTTATCATTGGTTTTCCTTGGTACTCCTTATTACTGGTTTCCATATTTTAATTTTGACTTTTATGTGGCTACTGTATTGTACTTGGAATGAGAATTGAAACCCTTATGTCATAGTCAACGCCGTTAGCATATGAATGTGGGCTGAAACGTTCATAGGCTGACCATAAAAGAGTGATGCTGACATCTGACTGTTCAAAGAAGACTTCAAATTAGCGACTTCTCTTGAAGATAGACAAAATTTGGCATTGTGGTTTTATGATGTACCTGCATCAAAATGGTTTAGCCCCCAAGAACATTCACGCTGACGTAGTTGCTACATTAGGGGATATACGCTTCAGTGCAAATGCGGGCAGTCGAATTCAGGAGGGGAAGGGAGAGTCAAAGATGACCAACCAGTCTGGACGTCCTACAACTGCCATCACCGAGGAAAAAACACTGATCGAATTCACCACATGGTGATGGATGACAGGCGATTGACTATAAATCAGATGCTATTAACATATCTCATGTGTGAGATAAGAATATTTTGCGCAATCAACTTGATATGACGAAGGTTTCTGCTCGGTGGGTGCCACGTCTTCTGACACCTGAACAAAAGCGCACCTAACAAAAACCTGAGCGTAGATTAATATTTGGATAAAAGCCCAGGTTTTTCCCTCTTTCACCTTTCTTAACAGAATTACTGCTCTCCCAAGCAAACTTACACAACAGTATCAAGAAATCAAAAGAAAATGGTTCAATCCGTCAACACAACAATAAAAACAATATATCCATACAATATATCCACGTAATGGTCGGTTAACAGTATAAAAATAGCGTTCTCTAAATTCTTCTACATTTTTTTAATGTTTTGTTATTACATTTCGTTTCGCCTGGTCGACCATCGGACGAAACGCGTTTTTTTTCGTATTCTCTTTATAAAATATAGCGTTTTTAAATTCAGTTCTAACCATGTTTCCAAAATGGAAGCTTACATCGACAAAAAAATTTTTTTTAATTTATAATATTAATGCTCTGTAAATTTACATTGTATTTGTTAAAACACCGGATTATTTTATATATATATATATATATATATATATATATATATAATATTATTTATACACATACATATACAAAATATATATGAAAAGATATTTTGTACATTGGACGAAAAACCCTTCGTATTTTCTTTTTGAATTTGTAAGTCTGATTTTTTACGATTCCAATGGAATAAATTATGACCATGGAATATTTTTATATATATATATATATATATATATATATATATATATATATATATATATATATAATGCTCTAGATATCGGTCTTTAGTTGATTCTAAAATTAATTTTTTACGATGCAAGAAGCTGCAAGAAACAAAAGTATTACGATAAAAAATCGTTTTTGAAAAAAAAACTCAATTAAACAAAACAGTTCCGATAAAAGCCATTTGAACGGAATGTGATGACAAAAATATAAACTGCTGAAGGCTTTGCCTTAGAGTATCGGACAGGTCAGAATTACTGAAAAGCGACCGAAATGTTGCGGCAAATGAAACACATATAAAAATAGGGTTAACTTGAATGACTATCGAGCTAGACTGGTTGACTAATAACCCTGATAATGTTTGGTTCCACATTGATAGTCCTGTAGAGGTAATGTTCACTAATACAAGGCACGGTAGCCACTCAAGGTAGGGTATTTCTGAAATTGTAATGTGAACGTAGGATTCAAGATTATGGGATATGAAGGAAATACATAATCTTGGCTTTCAGTGTTCAGGGAAGGATTCAAAGTCGCGGTTCTTGAGAAGAAGTTCTCTGAGTGGAACCTCCTTCTTTCCAACGGAATATATAGGGGATGACGGTGATTCAACTCCGTGGAGATAGCGAGGCCTGTCTTACTTGTAAAGATCTAAATTGATGGAACTAAAGTGTTGTAGAGTAGCTGAATACCTCCACAAGATGCACTGGTCTAAGACTATTTAAACAGCACTCTCCGTTACTGAGGGGCAGGAGTTAACGATTACAACTAATTCTGCTTAACGATTACAGTTAATTCTCACTCTCTGCCTCTGAGTGGAGAGGAACCTAGACGAGGCTATGAGGGCAGAGTCTCGTCTGGGGAGGTAGACAGCTACTTGACACTGTGTATATGGGATCAACGGGCAAAAAACCCAAAAGAAACGGCTATGTGCGACATATCGCCTTGTGAGGAGGTCTCGGGTAAATACCGATGTGTTAACAATTATAGTTAACTTTGCTTGTCGACTATCTGGATCTGGGCGGTGAGGAACACAGACAAGGCTATGCCGAAGGGCAGAGTTTCATCTGGGTGGGTAGACAGCTACCCGGCCCAGTGTATACGGGGTTAACGGACAATTTTTACCCGAGCCTACGGGCTCGGAACGCCACACGTAAAAAAACCGGCCTTGTGCCACATCCCGCATTGTGGGGAGGTCTCGGCTAAAAACCGGGAAGTTAACGATTAACTGTTTATTACATTAGTTTGTGTTCTCAACCGTGTTCCATATTATTCTCCGGAATAAAGTACTTCTAATTTTCTATATGTGTGTCAACGTTTCCTCTTAAGATACGACATAAAAAAATGGAGTTCATCTGAACATTTGCCATGGAAATAGCGATAGGTTTTTGTCTGTGAGAAAGGCTGCAGGATAGAAAATAAGTCCACCCTCAAGGCCTTAAACGAGCTTGAACTCAGTCAAGGCCCGGTAAGTTAGGATTGGGAAGATGCAGCCCAGATATGGCAGCGATGTTTCATGTTTGGAAAGCTAAACGCAAGTGGAGAAATGGGTAACCTTTACAACTGAATAGTAAATTTGACATACTTCTGGGTAACCTTGCGTTGGTTAACGGTTAATGAGCTATACTGCTTGGTTGGTTGGTTGGTTAGTTGATTTTGTTTAGCGGCATATCAACACCTTTATGGGTTTAATGTCGAAATCTAAATATTTTGTACGTAATTTTATTATTATTATTTTTTTTTTTTTAGATAATAATCTTTTTTTGTTTTTTTTTAGTGATGCAAATCGTAAAAATTAACATATGTCTCCTGGAAAAAGGAGTGGATTCATACTTTTCTTAAGGGTATCTGCACGTAAGTGAATGTAATGGATTCGACTGGAATTCGAACTCGGTATCTCCGATTAACAATTTCGAGCCATTATACATTACACTAACCGCATATCCAAGCTTACAACACCGGGTATTCCCAAAAGGTCACTCATCTAGGTACTGACCGGGTTCGACGCTGCTTAACTTCGATGATCGTACAGGGACTGATGTTTTCAACGTGATGGGGTCCGTTAAGACGATACTACTTGGCTATAACTTCTAAGTAGTAAGTTTGATCCTCACTAGGTGCCCTATACATTTGGCCTTTTGCTAAACTGATCTAAGCTTAGTAACTAAAAATAAGACATCGTTTCAGAAATTCGAACAGAAAGAAGGCCAGAGGCTGCAGCGGCCGAAGCGTTGTGAATAAAACTGAGGAAATTAATCCAAACATCGTCTAAGAAGTTGGGGCTGAAAATGAAATGGGGTCTGCAACTAACCAAATTTTGTGTTAAAGAAAAAAAAAATAAGAACACGGGAAAATTTGAACACCTCATCTCAGAAATTCAGACAGAAAAATCCCAATATTATTTATTTCAATATAAAAAAAGTTCTTTACTTCTTTATGTGCCCCTTGTCCTCTCAGGACATAGGCGATCATGGTTCTCCACAGTTTCCTGTCCTTTGTAGCTCTTAATAAATTTTCACTTTTCATTATTCCTCCTATACTCTGTTCCGTCACCCATTTACTCAAGCTTATCAAGTGTATTTCAAAGCTTTTTTAATCATCTGAAACATGAGAATAAAATATGCGCTTATAATACAAGGATTGGCTTATTTTTTACAGTTTTTCTTTTAGATTTAGTTAAATTGTGTCATAATAATTATTTCAACTATTTAAATTACTATATTATCTATCTATCTATCTATCTATATATATATATATATATATATATATATATATATATATATATATATATATATATAAACAGAGGATGTGTGTCTGTGTGATACCTTTTCACCAAGATCCATTCAATCGATTTGGGCTAAAACTTGGCTTATTCATTGTATAATGTAATAGATACGTTCTTAGCGTAAAAAATCCCTAATTAAAAAAAAAAACTCAATAACCGATAAAGTCGATCAAAAATCGATAAATTCAACCTTTTTCCTCCGACTTCATTTAAACTCGGTAAGTAGGTTACTTACACCATAACGAGCTCAACGATACCTCATTTTTTTTATTTTCACGCCACTGCAATTAGCGAAAACCGCGAAAAACGAAAATCGATTTCAACACAAATTTTAAACTAAAAACTACCTCAGTTTTCAAGCAATCTAATACAAACTTCACTCAATTGTAACCAACAATAAGTTGATTGTTTAACAGTCTTTAAACTTGTTAACTGAGTCCACCCATATAGTGAAAACCCGCGTAAATAGCGAAAAATGGCGATTTTTACTGGTTTCTTTCTTATTTTTCGTTGATCTTTCAACCAATTTTCATCAAACTTAACAGTTACTTTATAAATATATCCTTTTTACATACCTGCTAGCACACTGACAAATTGAATTTCAAAAACTCCAAAATAATTGTGGCCTGAAATGAAAGTGCTTTAAAGTAATGGAAGCAGATAGACTCTGTTACATCTAAACATGATGCTGTTTTTGCTCCATTCTAACTGAACTTTTTTTCTGATCGATCAGCTGTGTATGGCTGCTAGTATAATTATATATTTATAATATAAATTATTTTTTAATCATTTTCCCTATGCAAGCCACTAAGACGCAAGGGGTTACTGAGTGTGAAAGAATATGAAAAAAAAAAGAAAACATTATTAAGTCGAGATGATAATAAAAGCACAAGAAATAAGAAGACAGAAGAGAACAGTTGACATTACATTTGACATTTGAACAGTTGACATTGACATTTGACAGTTGACATTTGAACAGTTGACATTACATTTAAGGTTTTGAAGATCAAAGTTGACTGGGAAGCAAGAAGTGCGATAAAAGAAACTGTTAGCATCGAACTCATGGTTACATGTAGACATTTCAACTGTAAAATGATAAAAATCAAGGGAAAAAAGATAACATGTAAAAATTATAACACCCACTTTGCTTAATTGAATGACAACAACAACAAATAAATATTAATCTTTTATTGTACTATTAAGGTGAGTGAATAATAAAAGAACAAGAATTAAGAAGACAGAATATAACGGTTGACATTGCATTTGAGGTTTTGAAGATGAAAGTTGACTCGAAAGCAAGAAGCTGGAAGAGAGTTCCACAAGCGAGAAATGCGATAGCACAAACTGCTAACATAGACCTTACGGTTACATTTAGCCATTTCAACTATAAAATGATGAGACCTAGCTACCAATCTAGTACTGCACTTAAATTCAAATTCGTGGTACCATAGAGGAACGTTTATAAGATCAATTACCATGAAAGTATTTATAGAAAAAGCACTGGAAAGTTATATTATGGCAGTAGGGAAGGTACTGAAGACGAGATAAGCAGGTCAGGACCAATAACGCTGCAGAGTCTGTATTTGGATTTTATCAAGAATCTCTAAATATATAGCAGGAGCATCAGACAATATGCGCCAGCAATATTCAAAGCATGGACGAATGGAGAACTTATAAATATGTAAGATAAATTCTTGTGAAAAAAATTGTCTAGCACCACACAGTTTTTCGTGGCAGACTTAACACTTGATTCAATATAATCTTTCCACTTCATGTCAACAGGAAAAGGTTAGCCTGAAAAAGCTGAATAAGTCGTAAGGTTAGCTTCAGCCATGGTGATGGAAGGCAGAAAGAGATCGCTCAGACAATTAACAAGAAGAAGTTTAGTTCTGGAGGCGTTCAAATTAACATGTTATTCCTTGCCCCAGTTAACAGCAGATTGCAGGTCATGTTTTTTTAGATAAGCTGCCAATTTGATCTCATCGAACATTTACTATTAAGACAGGAGTAAATAGTTGTGTCATCTGCATAGATACAGCAGTTGCGAACAGGTGACATCAGGAAGGTTGTTGATAAAAATTAGGAACAACGTAAGTTCAAGGATAGAGCTGGGGGGATCTGCACTAATCCAAAAAGATCTAGAAGAGTGGCCGTTCAAGATAACTTTCATTTTGCAATTTGATAAGAAAGACTGAATCAATTCAAAAAAACGCCCAGAAATACCATTTTTATCTAAAATTGATATATTCTTTCAGGAATAATCGCTAATACTACAACAATTGACCCAGAAAAGCGAAAAGCATATAACTTACCTGAAAGGAAATTCTACGACGTGAGATGCTTAACCAATTTAGAGTTTATTGGGTCCTCTAGTACTTTGCCAAAATGTGGTAGAAGGCTAATACGCTGAGATTTAGAAGGATCAGACAGTTCACCTGAGTTCTTAGACTGGAACTACAGAAGAGGATTTCCAACAAACAGAAAAACAAGAAGCAACAAAGCATTTATTATAGAGTTTAGAGAGAACAGGAGCCAAATCAGGAACACTTTTTTTAAGGACTATACATGCTGTTTGGGGTTCCGGTTTAGAGATGATAGCAGAAACCATGGATGGAGTTATGTGTATATCATACAACAGAGATTCTATTCTAAGTCATAAGTCAGGCAATGATACTCCAGATGTGTCAAGGGTAGAATTGGAAGATAATTTACAAGCAAAACATTCTGCTTTTTCAGGAGAAGATGTTAAAACGAGTGAAGAAAGGAGGGATAGAAGACTTACTTCTATTTAAGGCTTTATTACAGAGACACCAGTAGTTACAAGGGATAAGGTTGTTAGAGACTACACGGTGCCTCATTCTATCAACAAGCAAAAACCTAGCCCCTTTTAGGGAACGTTTACAATTATTATGAGGTACAAAGTGACGTATGTTGTGATCGAAACTTCTACGATCGTATAGCCGAAAAAAGTGATTCCTGTCGATTATAGCGGTTGAACAGGCCAGCGTGAACCCTGAAGAAGATGGCGGTTTCACCTGATATATGTGAGAAGGTACAAACGCATCGATGCCGGTTTCAACCCAAGAAGAAACGTATCACAGTTCTCAATAGGAAGGCTAAGAAGATCCATCCAAGGGACGTCTCAAAGAAAGTTACGAAATGAATCGAAATATGTATACTGTTAATAGAAAAATCAACAGCATGTTCTTGTCTAATAGAGGACTCAAAAGAAATATCAACAGATACTAAAGTGTAATCCTAATTGCAAAGAAGACGTAGTTGTGATGCTCAACAAGAGCTAGAAGAGGAGTTAAGTAATCATATATCATATCAAGTAAAGAAACATGTTGATCAGATTTATTAGGGAAATCCACTATTTGACTAAGTGACTGAGCAATAGAAAAATTAAGTCTGAATACCAGTAACATCAGTAACATTAGAATGGTTGACGTGATGAGCATTAAGATCACGAAACACAAAAATGTTCCCAGATGACTGTAGATAGATGTCTATACTGTAAGAAATTTTTTATATATATATATATATATATATATATATACAGTAAAAATAAACGCTAAAGCTTAAAATAAGTTAAAAGATTAAGATATAAAATTAACTGAGTGCTTAATGCCGAAGTCGACAGAACTTAAATATAATGTAACAACAGGCAGAACTCGGCATGATGGTCGTTATTATATGAAACTCTGAGTAGCAAACTTGGTATTGACAATGTTATATATATATATATATATATATATATATATATATATATATATATATATATATATATAGGAATCTCTCGATTGATGCGGTTAATTTGTATATCGGTAACTATAAAAAAATGAATTTTCATTTACTATAGTTAAGCGGAAGAAATACGAAATACTCGATTAGTCCGGTAACCCAGACTAATCGAGTATTATGTATACACTAATCCAGTTTTTGTATATAAAATAAATTAGCGCACTAATCCAAAACGCATTAATCAAATGCGATCTTCAGATGACTTGAACGAGTTACAATAAGAGCTAGCCTTTCAACGAATTTAATGTTTGTAAGCGTCTTTGATCTTTCTAGGCAATCTAGGCTTTGAGCACTTAGTAGCTAATTTTGCCTCCAGGCCTTTTCTTTCTTTTTTTAATTATTGGTGTTCTTATTAGAGACTTTATTTGGTTTTTGGCAAGTTGTCCGTTGGTTTCATCAACGGTTTTTTTACAATATATATATATATATATATATATATATATATATATATATAGAGAGAGAGAGAGAG